AATTTCATGTGAGGAAGCTGGAATTTTCCTCTCCCACCTTTGGTTTCAATTTCAGGAACATCAACCTTCCCTTCCAAAGCTGGAGCTTTAAGTTCTACTTCAGGCCCCTTGACGTCAAGATCTGGCTTTGACACAGAAACACCAGCCTGTGCTTTTGGTAGTTGAATGTCTATCTCTGGGCCTTTGACTCTGGGGAGAGATATATCCATGTCTGGCATTTTGACTTTGGGCATTTGAAATTTCCTGTCTGGCTTCTCAACATCTACACGTGGTGCTTCAATGTCCACACCTACTTTTCCTGTTGGAACATCTACGTCAGGTATTGAGATGTCAGCACTGACTTCTGGTGCTTCTGCTTGAGCTTTTGGAGTTGAAAATCCAAATGTGGGCATTTTAAAGGACGGCATTTTAAATTTCCCATGAGAGCCTTCAATGTCAATGTCCTGGTCTTTCACTTCTGCTACAATCCGTGGACCTTTGATCTCTACCTCTGGCCTTTTAATTTCTACTGCTCTTTTGGGAAGAGAAACGTCTCCCTTTGGAAGGTTGGCATCAATCTCAGCCTCTGGGGCTTTCATATCTGCCTTTGAAATTCCAGACTTGGGCAAAGATATTTTCGGCTTTGTTAATTTTATATCAAGACCCTTTCCATCGATTTCTGGCACTTCTATTTTGCCTTCCACTGAGGGTGGCTCCACGTCTACTTCAGGAACCTTTGCTTGTATTTTAGCCTCTGGAAGTGTAATATCAACTTCTGGCTTAGGTGAACTAATATCCAGTCCTGTTCCTTTGACCTTTGGAAGGGAAATCCCAAACTTTGGCAGTTTGAATTTGCTTCCTTCACCTTCTGTTTCAGTTCCTTTCCCTTCAATGTCCATACTGGGGCCCATGAGATCAACAGCAGGTTTTTCTCCTGACACTGTTAGCTGGGGTTTGGGAATCTTGACGTCAGCTGTAGTTCTGATTTCAGGGCTTTTAACATCCAGGTCTGCTTTTGGAAGAGGAATGTCCACTGTGGGTAAGGTTGTGTCTCCTTTTATTTTAGGGACTTTGATGTCCGGTGTGGAAATCCCAAAAGATGGTAATTTCATGTGAGGAAGCTGGAATTTTCCTCTCCCACCTTTGGCTTCAATTTCAGGAACATCAACCTTCCCTTCCAAAGCTGGAGCTTTAAATTCTACTTCAGGCCCCTTGACCTCAAGATCTGGCTTTGACACAGAAACACCAGCGTGTGCTTTGGGTAGTTGAATGCCTATCTCTGTGCCTTTGACTTTGGGAAGAGATATATCCAAGTCTGGCATTTTGGACAGTTGAGATTGGCTGTCTGGCTTCTCAATGTCTGCATTTGGTGCTTTTATGTCATCTATGGGTGCGTCAATGTCCACACCTTCTTTTCCTGATGGAGCATCTATGTCGGGTATTGCGATGTCAGTACTGATTTCTGGTGCTTCTGCTTGAACTTTTGTAGTTGAAAATCCAAATTTGGGCATTTTAAAGGAAGGCATTTTAAATTTACCATGAGATCCTTCAATGTCAACGTCCTTGTCTTGCCCTTCTGCTTCCAACTGGGGTTTAGGCATCTTGATGTTAGCTGTAGTGCTGATTTCAGGGCTTTTAACATCCAGGTCTGCTTTTGGAAGAGAAATCTCCATTGTGGGTAAGGTTATGTCTCCTTCTATTTTTGGAGCTTCTGCTTTTGTTATGTCTGTTGTAGTTGAAAAAATAGTTTTCGGTTTTTCAATTGAAGGTATTTGAAATGTGTCTGCTGCTCTTCTAATTTCGGTATCCCTATATTTCTCTTTGTCTCTTAACATTGGTTCTTTGATTTCTGTCTTTGCACTTTTAATTGTTTTTTGTGGCACATCATCAAAAAAGAGTTCTGTCTTTGTGATTTGGTGATGCGTATCAAATCCAGAGATTTCCATTTTTGGAAGCTTGAACTTTGTAATATTCAAATTGCTTCTTGTTTGTATATCTTCACCTTCTACATGTGTATTTGAGGGATGTAATTTTATCCTTTTTATTTCATTTCCGATCTCTCCTGGCAGAGAGAGATGTTCTTCTGTAAAATGGACATCCACTTGTACTGGAGTGGCTTCTGTGCCTTTTTCTATACATGGAATCTTGAATTTTCCCTTCGGTGCTGTGCCCCGTATAGGTTGTATCTCAGTATCCTCTCTGAGCTGAATGTGAAGTGGTGTTTCTTCTTTATGCATCTCACCTTTTGAATGTGAAATTTCTGCTGTAGTAATGCTTTTTCCTTTGCTTTCTTTCACATCTGTCATTGTGATTTTTTCATGGACATCAAGATCAGAGAGGTTGATTTTAGGCAACTTGAACTCATGTAGTTTTGATTTGCTCATTGCTCCTATCACATTATCTACATCCAGTTCTGGATGAATTCTTGTAGCTTTAATTTCCATCTGTGGAGTATCAGTCTTCCTTATGGATTGTGAAAGATCTAGTTCACTTTTTGTTTCTGTAATTTTAATTCCAGTTACTGGTTGTAATATAGAGGCTTCAGCTTCAGTCGTAGTTTTATCAGATTTGTTTAGATCGTCTTCTCTCTCTGTTGTTTTCACATTGGGGAGAGAGATAACTGATTTTGGAATTTTAGGTTTATATAGTTCAGTTTTCTTTCCTTGTGTTGGCTGTTCTAATTCGGTGTCTTTTGTTTCTGTCTGTGGCTTACTCATGTGTACATCCCCTTTAAGGAAAGGAGAATCTTTGTCTGAAGCATAGACATCACCGCTGTCAAACTTTGGAGTTTGCATTTCTGTTTCTGAACTTCTTGGTTGTATCCCTTTTTTGCTCATTTCCACCTGTTGACGTCTGGTGATAATGCTGTGTGTTTCCTGCTCTGGAACATGCTTACTTTTGCCTTTAATTATCTTTTCAGCTTCTATCTTTGATGCCTTCTGTTCACCCACGGCTTCTTTTCTTGCTGGAACATCTACTGGTGCCATGCCAAGTTCAGGATCCCCTTTCTTTGACATCTTGATTTTGCTCTTTTCAGCATGAGCCAAAACAGCTGGCGGTTCCATTTTAGCTTCGTAAGGTTTTAGAACAGATTTAATTGTTGGTGAAAGAAGGCTCTTTTCTCTGCTTTCTGTTTCCATCTCTAGGGTTGGTGCCTGCATGTGTAGGGATGCAGTAGGTTGTACATTTTCAGACGTCCCTTCAGGTCCTGCTTTTTGATCATCCTCAGATTTCAGCTGCTGTGCTTTATCTGTTATTCTCTCTTTTGGCTTCTTAACTTCAACTTTAACACTGGATCTATTAGAATCTATTTTTTGAGTGCTTATATCAATGGAAAGTTGACGTCCTTTCAGCTCAGCATGTGATATTACATTAGGACTAACTGGGGCATCTCTTAATTCCAGATCTTCAGGAGTTCTAACTCCAGCTTCACTAGTGTGGAGCTCAAATTGAAACTCAGGTCCTAGACCATGTGGTGATGCTTTTAGAATTAATGTCTGAGGTGCCATTGCTTGTGGTTCAGGACTTATGTCTCCTTTCTCTTTTCCGCTTATATTCACTTTTAGTTCTGATCTAAGTTTCTTCTTCCTTCTTTTTCCTTCTGGAGTTCTTTTGTTTTTAATTTGTTCTTCACCAGGTTCAACAAGAATATCACCAGATTTTGGTCCACAAATGGAAATGTCAGCCGTTTTGAGTGTTTTGTCCAGGGCGATGAGTTCTGCTTTATATTGGCTGATTTCAACTTCAGGGCCTGTCACATTTGGAAATGAACTCTTATCATTTACCTTTGAGGTGTCTTTAATTCCATTTGCATCTAATGCACAGATTTCTGGTATTTCCTTTTCTGTAAGATATTTCTCAGTCACTTCCAAATGTTCTGACGTTTCTGCTACAGTATCGTTATCGTGTTGATCCATTGATTTGCCCTTAAGGCTCCTCATTCCTAGGCTTGGCAGCTTTATCTTTGACCTCTTTGTTTTGGTTTTCAGAGGCTCCTGAGACTTGTTTGGAGATTCTGTGTCACTTGTTGTCGGACTCATATCCAAGGTTTTTTGCTCCTCTGCTTCTGATGTGCTGTGAGATCTTTTGAAGTACATCTTTCTCTCCCTTGTAAACGATGGGAACTTAGGCCAGGAAATTCTGGCCTCTTGTCGTCTGGGAGTTTTGGTTCGTCCTCTTTCCACAGTTGTTCCTGTTTCTCCCTGAGGGTATTATAGAAAACAATCAGTGCTTATAAGAGGTATAAATTTAAATACTTTAACCTGTTGTAAATGTAAGCACTGTACATTATGTACCAATAAGTAGTCTTTTCCCTAAATTATCAATAAACGTGCCTTTAAGAACTTTAAAAAAGGTTTAAAACTCTTGTTCTCATTTTGGAATATTTGGATGCACACTGTATTGGACTACATTTCACTGAAATATTTAGACATAAAAAAAGAATCATGTGATGTTTAGTCAGCAATATCTTCTGACTGTGGAGCCGAACTTCATAATATCGTAATAGAATTAATCTCCTGCTATACTAATTTTCCTTTTTGCCAGTTCACTATTTTTTTCATGTTGAAACATTGTGTTGAATGAAGGTTGCAAATTTAACCCTTATACAATATCTGGTCAAAGAAGTGAGTGGGCATAAGGCCAGTCAACCAAAAACCCTGACAGCATCCTAAAACTTTGTGTTTTCTTACACTTGTGAAGAATTCTTTCTAATGTTTGATGCGAGGACTCAAACAGCAGTGTTAGAGAAAAAGCTGGAGAATGTGTGTCACCATGTCACCATCAGGACAATAGCTTACATGTCCTACCAGAAGTACACATAACAATATGCACACAGACATGGAAACTGAGACGGAAATAATGATATTGACATATTTTATGTGGCCATTAGACCTTGAAAGGCTCTTGCACTTACAGGAGTGATGTTGAGCGGTTCTGCTGCAGATACTTCAATGGCAGACGTTGCAGGAGACTTGCGTTTCAGGCAGAACTGCACTTTATAAGGCTTGGCGTGCTCCAGAATCTGAAGTGCATCTTCATATCGGATATCATCAAAAAAGACTGTCGCACTGAGGATTTGATCTCCTAGGGGAAGTCAAAGAAGTAGACTGTTACACACCAGAATGATTCAGGAGGGAACTCATTGCAAAATGTTTAATTCTATTGCAGGAATAATTTTAAGACCAATGAAAATATGCTGTTGAAGTACAATCTTTCTGAACTGTTAGAAAAGCTGTTCATGGCTGTATTGTACTACACTGTACTGTTCTTCGTTATTGAACTGCTTTAAAAAATCAAATGTTTCCCTTATTGAACCACTTTTCTTAGGGATACTACAGGGCTTTAGAAGATATACTGACTGAAGTCAATAGCTTCATAAAAAATTACCTTCTCTCATGCATGGAATCGTTGATGCTGGTGACTCGTGCAGTACGTCCTTCACAAATATGCCTTCTTTTCCTCCACCACTTACAATCAGCCCTTTGGCACATGCTTCTGTCTGTGTTTTCACAATTAACTCTGATTCATCAGCTGTCTGCAATTCCTAAAAGGAAAGAAGAAAGCATCGTTGGAACCTTTCTCATGATAAGACATAAAAATGTAGCTTATAGCAGGCCACATATTTTATAACACCGGAAATTAATAGCCAGAATTAATCTGCAAAATCAGATACAGTTTGTGGTTCTGTTTACCTTGTTGCTTGAAAAGTGTATACAGGTTATTCTTATGCTTCAGTAAACTTTTCATGGGGGTGATGGCAGTATCCCCTCAGTCAGGGCGCTGAGTGAGGCATGATGGAACCACCAGTGAGTGTCAATGTGTACACTTGTGTGATTGCTAGGGGTTTTTACATTTTTTCATGTTGTTGTCGGCTTGTTCACATTTTACCTCCTGCACATGCGAACAAGTCTTTTGCTATTTCTGATAAGCCTTCAGGACAACATCACCTCTAACCTGCCTGTGGCATAGCCCCTGTCTTTACATGACTGGGATGTCAGCAATATATTCTAACTGCAAGTGGAAATGCTTCTCATTTTTACAGAATTCAAAATTGCGATGCATGTAAATGAAGCCTGCGTTTCTGCACACTGCTTTCTAATTTCACATTGATTGAAACTAGCACATATTGTACTGAACATTTTGTTTGCCCTAGAACATTTATCTCTTGGAAACATCTATACATATGATACAATACATTTGTCAGTGTCAGTTGTTTATGAAGAGTCCAGATTAAAAGGGGACATGCATTTATAAGATTTAAGAAACATTTTTTCGCTTCACTTTGCCTGTCAAACAGCCTTGCATGAACCTCATTTGACTGAAAAGCTGACGGTCTCTGGTCATTAGTGGGCTGTAATTCTCTCCAATTAAAGAAGTCATGTATACCATTTTATTTCCTGTTGCCATCATTCTCTCATTGAGTATCAAATGATAAATTTGCCATTCAGAAAAATAACATAAAAGGACGACAAATGAGAGAAGGCCCTTCAGCCCATTGTACGTGTTTGGTTGCAAGAAATTTATTGATCATGGATTATGTCCAGCCATTTCTTCCAGGTCCTTATGAAATTGGCCAAACCTGCTAATTCCTTGTCTTGCTCACCTCTGTTTGACTCATTTTTGCAGAGAAGTGCTTGTCAAAGAACGCCCCAAATCCACCTCTTTTTACTTTCTTGTAGTCAGTATGTTTCTGATATGGGTCGTATATTTCCTCTTCACCCTAGAAACATGAAAAAAGACAGTATGATGCAAACATGTTAGGTTGGAGGTTTGTTCATTAAAATGGGTACTGTGATAATAGTTGCATGATGTAAGAGCAGTTGATGGAGAGTCTAATGTTGTGAATGATGGCGTGCAGATGAATAATCAATTCAACAGTAAGATTATTGAAACATTCTTAATGAGTCTTAATGTTCCTATGTAGACATTTCCAAGAAGCAAGTATCATTACTACTATATACTGTAAACTCCATAAGATTTAAAATTACTTCTGTGTGTTCTTTTCCTTTTTACCAAGAGCCTGATTATGTCACTGCTTTAAAGTCTTTTTAACTCGGGTTGTCATTTGGCCTTTCTAACATGAAAGCCTTCACATCCAGTTTGTCCTGCTCTGAAAGATCTATTTCCTATTTATAAATCATGCAAAACCTAATTTCAAAGTCTAAACTCCTCAAGACAAACCAAGAAAGCTGATTTCTAGTGATATCTGAAGTTTCCGAGCAAGTCTCACGGCTGTAACTGGAAACAACAGGACATGTTTACTGTGGTTTCAGATAACATTTAAAAGTTAAAGACCAAACTGACATTCTCTGTATATCCAGTGATGACAGTTCAAATCCAGCTTTTCCACAGGAAGGAAAATAATAGCATGTAAATGTGTTTTTTATATTGTAAATACAGTATATGAAAAAAATCCCTTTTTCCTTCTCCCACATTTTAACTATACCAAGCACACACACCATGGAGGTGTCAAATATTAACAACCCAGGTGGTTCACCTGCTTGTTTATGTCTGTGTATTTCTCAGTGCTGGGACACTCGTACACTGGAGAGGAGCCTTGAGGTCGAGGTCGTTCCTCTTCTAGGAATTCCAGGGTCTCGTCAACCTGGGAAACACACAGCATGATACACTGTCGTTGAAGGGCACAGCGTCTGTTTCCTGGGGTCCAGTTCAAGGTGATCTCACCACCGTCCACACAAGGCACACTTATAAATCTTGCTTACAGGGTGGCAGTGACGGCTTCAGATGAACAGGCAATATCCTTTTGTTAAAGTGAAATTACAATCTTTACCTGCAATTTTCGCTTCATGTAAAAGTGCCTAGAGAAGCAGCTGTGGACTACCAAAATAAGCAAAATCTGGAATGATCAGCCTTCTGAAAATGCAAAAAAGCATAGTTGTTCCCATTTCTATCACATTGACTGCAAAAATATATAACCACTAGGTGGCGACCATGGGCCATAATATAGACAATTCATCAAGTCCGGAGTGAAGCAGCATATTTTAATATCATGTGACTGTGTAGCTGATATTAAAATAGTAAATCAAATTAAAAACCACTAAGTACTGTACATTTTCAACCTAAATTAGAAGTTGTTATTAATTATTATTATTGTTATTAATAATTATTTGATTATTAAATTTAATCAAAATACTGTTTTTCTATTATGCTTGAACAGTGAAATTAAGAAACGTAAAACTTCACAATGTCAGGCTAGGGTTCATTGTAATTAACTATGGAGGGCTGTAGAGGTGGGTTTAAAATCTTCTAAATAAAATGTTAAAGTTTCACTGGAATGTTCATAAAAAAATAACAAATACAACTTACAGAATCATATTCATTGTCCGGTTCTGGTCCCTTCAGCTGCCTTCCAGACCCTGTTGAAGGATGAGATATAGCTCATAAAAACCGAAGCACAGACATACTGGATTTCTGTCTTTACAGATGTCACATTGCTTTAGACTGCTGTTACTCATATGACTGCATGGCAACTGTGTAGAGATTTACTGTAGCTACAGCATTAAGATTATCAGAAAGTTACTCTTGTCTATGCTATTGCACTTCCGAGATATAGGCCCAGTGTCATTTTTACTCTTTATAGCCAGTCACCAGACAAAACAAACCCTATTGGAGATACATTTATTATTGTTTTACTTAATGGCATTCATATCAAGACACCTCAAAGCACTTTACAATTAAAAAAGGAAAGCAACACTATTACTTGGATAATATGTTGTATCGTGAGCTAGATAAACATACAGTAAAAAGTTCCAATAACACTGAGGAAATTCAAGTTTAACGATATATGATTCTGACCTCACATGAAAGGACTCCCTACTACAGATTATGTGTCAGGACATTACTGCAGTCCTTCAGAGCAAGACAACTAGTTTTGCCAAAACACAAATGCGTAAGCACATCACTTATGTTCTCAAGAATAACCGACTCAAACTCAAACATGCATACAGTATGTCCATATGTGTTCAAAATGTCAATATGCCTATGACAACAAGAATGTGTCTCACATAATATGATAATATTCTAGTTCAGGTGGGTAGCTGCGTCAGCATGCATAGTCTGTAAAGGAACAATAGGTTTATTCCATGCTGAAAAGAGAAGAGAGAAAGCACAACGTTTCAGCTGTGAAGCCTTCTTCAGGTGTGATAATATTCTACATGGAATTGTTCTTTAACTGTAGCGTTTCAGAAGTGAAAGTTACATTCTCTTTTGGTAAAAATTAAATTATAGAAAGAAGATGAGTGACTCACAAAGTAGTGTCAGGGGACATAAAACCTGTGATATCAAAATGTGTTTTGCAAATGTGCTGAGGTTTCTTTAGCGCATTCACATTGAGACCTCTCACATGTGCTGTTTACTGCAGGCAGAAGAGTCATGGGGTGTAGGAGAAGCATAACAAGACTGCTGTGCTTTACTCCCCAGCTTGTGATTATCCTATGATTCTCCTACAGTTTATACAAGAGTAGTTCAGCCAATGCATGGCCAATATTCCGTATTGTTAAATTGCTTTATGCCTGAAAATGTTGTGTCTTTCTGAGTTTTTGATGATTTGGCCCTTGCAAATATTATTTGCTGTAGAGAAACTGTAACCCTGGAACCAACTCCCTAGCCATTTTTCAAGCAGATTCTCTGTGATTGCTCGATAAACAGCTGGCTGAGACTCTTGGATTAATCGACTACTAGTAACTGCACAAGCTGAATCGGCCAAAAGTCTTCTTTTTAGTTATAGTCCTTATCTTCTTAGTTTGATTCTAATTTTTGATGAATTATTGGTGATTATTATTTGAATTACTGACTGTTCAATAAAAACTGTAAAAGCTTTTTACAATTATGCTTTATAACTTTCCAAAAAAAAAAGAGTTAGATTGCACAATCTTTCACTCCTACTAATCACGCCTCATAGCTCAGAGCATGCTTCCAAGAAGTGAAAATATTTTGGGTTTCCAAAGTTTAGCAAAGCTATTAAAGTATTCTTCTGCCGCACCAGAAGCAAGATTAAGTGTAATCACTGCAGTCATGTTAAAACACATACCGCAGCTGCATAATAGATTAATGCAGCATTTTCAGTAAAGAAATCCCAAGAGACAAAGCAGTCTACTGGTGCCTGCAGTTCTTGTTATCTGATCCATAATATTGATCATGAGGATAGACTTACAGTCATTTGGCCTGGTCAGGAAAATTGTGAGGAAGAGGAATTGTAAAAAATCAATTTGCAGATGCTAACCATCATAAATGTTATTTCAGAATTTTTATCACGTTTTATCAGTCACTGTTCTCATTTTAATTTATAAAAATGTGCCCTTTATGTAAACGTGTAGTCACAAGTTTTGTGTTCTTGAACATTAAAAACACAGGCAAGTTAATGTCAGCATATCCCATGTACACCAAAAGGAACAAGCAGGGGTGAATTCTACACTGAAAAGCAAAGAAAACAGTGTGAAATACATTCCATGTTTTGACTGCGGAACCTTTTTTCGGGTTTATACTGACAAGAACAGTAAGTGCAAGGAAAAAGTTGGGCAGGAAAAGGGGGAGAGTGAACTGGAAATTCTTTTGTAGGTGTCTTTAAGTTGACATGGAAGGACACCAGCAGACAGAGAGGTCAGAAATGTCCTGATTGTGGGAGGTAAACTTGGAGGTCTGTTACCTTGACTGCTCTAACACGATCTGTCAGCTTGTTTCTCCAGCATAAATGACAAGACACTTTCTTCAAGAAGTGCAATAAATGACAATCATAATACCCTCGGCTTGATCCTGGAATGACCAGAAGGGCTTTTGGATATTCCCATACTGTAATATCGCAAAAGAATTCAAGGGTTTGCTGCAAACACTTAGATTACTGCCTTTGAATATTATGGAACATAATACACAAGTCTTGGAGGAAATTATAAACAGCATCTGAAATTATATGACTTTGCTCAGGCACTCGGTTCAGGCTCCAGAGCTTTTAGTCTGTGATATTATTTACGATGTGATGACATGCAGGCCTTTCAGAACTGATCACTGTCCAGAATTAACTCTGCTAAACAAGTACGGGACGCGCAACAGAACACACCCACACTCACTCTGGATGATAAACAGATCCCTCACATCCCTCATTGCTGTTTACTTGTGACTACAGGTTTTAGTTGCATTAAATGGGATTCCTTCTATATTTTACAGAAAGTGAAGCACACCCACTCCTAGAGACAAACATTTAACATTCACTTATAAAGCCAAGAGACTAACAGTAATCTACTTTATAAAGGAGTTTGGAGTTTTTTTTCTTGCATTTAAGTATATGTCGTTTGTTTTTCCACATGCTCCATGTGTAAAAAAGGGTTTATTTTCAGTTGTCTAAATTTGTTTCTAAGCCATCAAAAATCCCAAAAGACTTCTTTACTAAAGGTTACTTTTTAGCTCCTTTTTTATGTCATTACAGTGAAGCTTCACTGCTGATTAAGAGCAGTTATCTTCATAACCATTACTGCACTTGCATTTCAGTGATTTTCTGTCAGTGGCCCTGACAATGGAAAGTATTCAGTGCTGGATCTGCAGAGAACCTGTCTGATTGCAGTCTGCAATAATGTGCTATGCTTGCTTAAAGGAATGTAGTGGAAATCTATTTTGATAAATATGGACTGGCTGTCATTGACCTATTGCAAGCTTATCATCACAGAACTGCAAACAATTAATTAATAAATTAAGCTCACTATAATTTAACTATATTGTTTACACTATATTTTTAGTAGACCTGTTATTGTTTTTCTGTGCTTGTTTGTTTTGACATAACACATGAAAAGGGCAAATGTTTTTAGTAGAATGATGTAAATGCTATACCTTGTATACTGCAATATATATTTACAATATGAAAAACCGCAATAGCGTGGTCAGGATGTTGTTTCATTACTGCACTAATGAATCCTAAATAGGGTATAACTGGTCTGTAAGTGCTAAAGGTTTCAATTGCTTATTTATTAGGCTGCTGAAAAGGATAATGGAATCACTTTTGTGAGTTCAGTTTTCTTTCATTTATCTGTATGTCATAAACTATTACACTCCTACTCTGGTATTTTATATGAATGTGTACATATACAGTGTGTATTGGATATACTGTATAGTATACTTCAACAAAGTATGTTATAGGCTTCTTCAAGTTATATACTACATAAAATACAAACAAGACCAAAGAGGAAGCAACAATCAGACAAATCTGTTTTAAGATTTAAAGGTACCTGTGTTCTCAAAGTGGCACTGAGAAGATGGAATCAAATTTAAATCCACAAGGATGTAATGTAACAACATGTTAATCTGACAAGGTATAATAAATTGCATACAAAATCATACAGGAATCCTGAGGTTTTTTTTACATGTATTTGTACTTAACAGACTTGAGCTTCCAATGTATTAAGTTTGGTAATTTCCCATTTTAAAACTGCAAGATGATTAATACATTCTAAAATGTTGTGAATTTAGAAATTATATACTTATGGACGGTACATTAAAGAAACTATGTAATGCACAATTATATAGTGAAATAATTTTGGTTTGAACACCAGTAGAATTTTAAATATCAGCATTTTACTAGAACTGCAAACATTGCAAAACCTACACCGGTGAGGCATTTAAATCGCGAAAACAGGAGCTGCATTAATCAATGTATTGACACTAGTCAGTCTTTAGAATCTGCAGAGTCATTGCATCAATGACATCAGTCTCATTAGAATGTTTTTTTTCCAAGCTGAAATACTTTGGAGAAGTAATTGTTTTATGTAACTGTATCTATTAAATGACAGGAACAAAAAGACAGGTCAAGGTGATAGCTACACAATGACATATTATCAACCAATTTTCCTAGCCATTGGTTGTCTAACACACTTGGACTGAATATAGGATAAATATCAGAGGATTTATTTCCAAGGAAGGCAGTACTTTCAATGTAATATCTAATACTTGGGCCAGTGGCTCTGATGGTGTCACACATCCAGGTAGCTGTTCCTTTGCATGACAAATGATTAGAAATCAGTTGAGAAAATCACCTTATTGGTGATCTGATCTTCTTAAGCATGATTAGCAGTTCTAGTACTTAAATGCTCAAATGGTAAATTAATGGAATGTACTGTGATGAAGTAACATATGTGCATATGATTGGCCAGCACTAGTCACTTACTGTATTATGTTTTTCCTTGCACACTGGTATGGGTTTCTAAAGACAGTAGTGGGTGAATATTTGGGGATTAGAACATATGACCACATGAATGACCAAACTGACATTTCTTTGGAACTATTAAGAGCTGTATTGAGACAAAAAAAAATCCATGTCATGATGGGACTGCAATTACATGCCCACATAAACTCATGCTCTATGCAAATAGCACCA